CCAACTTTATCCTTCTTCTACCCTTTGGGCCGCCCCATAGACAATCAATGTTACAAATTCTTTACTTATGGCCTGAGGGAGTGTCCAGAGATAATGTGTGTATTCTCAAATGAATACATTGTATTTCCCAATTTTTGACACCAAATGCTGCACACACCTCCAGCACTTCCAAGTGGCTTGGAAAGGATCTCATGGGGTCCAATAACGACCTCCATCATCTTCTATGCACAGGTGTGTCTCTCTGCAGCTCATCTTCTATGCACAGGTGTGTGTGCGGCATATGAAGACAATCTCCTTACTATGCACGTTCATGTTGCTTCAGGATTTTGTTATTGTGGATGACAATGTGGCGAATATGTACCCCAGAATTAATCATTGGCAGTCAAAAGTTCAGTGTCAAAGCTATCTGCTCTGTAATTTGAATGGTTTAGCAAGGACTCTACAAAGGTTGCCCCAATGAACATTCCCACCCACAGGTATCAGAGTTCCTGTCCCCCACACTTTACAGCATGTTTGTTTTCTTAGTGCATTTAAAGAAGAAGAGAAAAAATTAACAGGGAGGGGAACAGAAGAAGGTGTTATCTAAAACTGTCTCCTGAACATCATTCCACCAGCAAATGTGGCCTGACCTTTTCATGGGACACAATCTAGCAAGTGACAAGTGTCACTAGAGGGAGAGACACACCCCAGGCCACTCCAACACACCTTCTTTATTTAATTGGTTCTCCACTTAGCACCACAAACCAGTCCCCACTCTGATTGACCTGCTCAGGGTGGTAACCGGAAAATTAAACAACTTTGATTTTCTTGAAGACTGACAAATCGTTCCTGAGCTGAACAGGCTACTTCAGAGATCACAGTGTTCCCCGTTTAAGCAAACTGGCTCTGAAAGCAACTGGCCTAGTTGATAAAACAGTCCCCCAAAGACCCAGCAAACACTACAGCATATTCTGCTGACCTAACACCTTGAGGGCCCCACCCCCATGCGAGATAGAACAATGCTTTTCACTTGTTTCAAAAGCACTGAGCAAACCACAAATTTACTTCCTTCTGTTAGTCTCATTGAGCCCTCTACCAACTCCATTTTTTAAGATCCTTTAAGAATTGTAGGACTGCTTATTTCTCTTAGAAACAAAAGAATTATTCTTCCTTAGTTATATTTCTTAGATATCTCAGTAACGACTATAAGCATGGCATGCAGCTCAAGATCTATTTATGTCTAATTTCCCTCTCAGTCTCTTTTTTTGGCTTTAAGTCTATACAAGCCTTAACGGGTACAAAAATTGACTAGACTGTGATGTGTTGTACACACAATGAAAGTCTCCTACTTTAAGAATATATCTTGGGATAGAGAGGTGGCTCAGCACTTTGGAGCACTACTGCTCTTGCAGAGGACCTGGGTTTGAGTCCTAGCACCCACATGCTGGCACACAACCACACTTAACTCCAGTTCCAGGGCATCTGATACCCTCTTCTAGCCTCCACCCATCACTTCTGGCACCAGGCACAGAGCCCAGCTTTCTCCAGTGGTCCTAGGTTTTCAGGGTGCTCCCCCATCCTGCTCAATTCTTCACCCAGACTCTCCAGTTCTATTTTTTCTTTTCTCTTTCTTTCTTTCTTTCTTTCTTTCTTTCTTTCTTTCTTTCTTTCTTTCTAAGCAGGGGCTTGCTATGTTGCTCAGACCAGCCTTGAGTGCTCAATTCTCCTGCCTCAGCCTCCCCAGTGCTGGGGTCACAGGTGTGTGCCACCACACCCAGCTCTAGTCTGCTTCTTAAAGGACACAGGTAGCCATTCTGTGTGGTTTGACCAGGGCAGGGCAGAGTCCTGGGGCAATTACCTCCCAGATCTCTGCTCAAATATTTGCTACTTGCCCAGCATGTGCCAGGCACCTATATATGAGTAAGACTCTGTACCTGCCTCAGTAAGGTCACAGAATTCCATTATTGTGTCTAATTAATGCTTCCAACAATTGCTTCAGGGTCCTGGGTCAGTTGAACTTGGAATGAACTGAAGTTCATATATATTATAGTTGTGGTGCAATAATTTCTTTCTTGCCAAGGTCGTCTTTTCACGTGTCCCTGTTAGTTTTTATCATTTTGGTTTTTGCCTTATTCCAATAGCCAACATAAGAACATGCTAGATGTTAACTGTTAATAGCACAACAATTCAACCTCACAGAAAAGGATAATGGTATTTGCGTATTTCTCCTTAATGCAAATTACACACATTTCAGACTTAGGAATTAGTCTCTGAGATTGACCTGTGGAGGTGAATCTGTTACTGAAGCAAAGCACAAGCTGTGTTGTGTTACTCTACTTCTGCATCAAGTGAGTGCATGTCTCTTCCTCCCTTCTTTTTTTAGCTGCAGGTTCAGGTTCCTTTCCTGGCAAACTTCTATTGATGCAATAAGACCGAGGGCAGATGGGACCACCTAGGTGAAGACTTCCATGATTTCAGAGGGAAGTTTCTTTCCTGAGTTCTCAGCTTTGCTCACAGCTTTACTCCCCTTACCTTACCACCTGGTGAGTCATATATACATTTTTGTGTCTATTTAGGGATAGTCCCTGCTCATCAGGGACTATCCCAGGCTTAATACTTCTCAAGTCCTAAGAAGCCCATTAGTCCTAGAAAAAGTAATAAGATGCCATCATTTATATATATAAAGAAAGATCAATTGTTAGACATCACACAGACCACCAAAGTCAGGACAAGTCTAAAAGCAGGTGAGCTGAACTGAAGCCACCCTACAGAATTTGAGATGAGATGGACAGAGGTAGGCAGCTTGCCTAAAGTCATGTGAACCTGAGGTCTAGGGGCTCCAAATGAGCTTGATAGTCATGGCACCCATCCAAAGAGGACCTCTCAATAAACATAAGAGAACCTGTTCTTTTTACCCTTCCATTACTTGGTACTATTGGCTAATTTGATGGTTGATTCTCACTAAAGCTACCAAGCATTTACTAATGTCCATGCATAGGCAAGGCAGTATACAAAGCATATGGAGGGACAACAGGAGGGACTATCTCTCAGTGGAAGAGCCTTTACCCAGCCTATGTCAGGAACTCTTTAGATCTTCTGTCTTGGAATGGGGCTAAAGAAGAAAACCTCTTCACAGAGAGCACATTTAATTGGAACAATGCCATCAGATCAACAGATCATCTGGGGGCTGTGTGATAAAAAATGAGTGTATCTCCCAAAAACATCAAAGGAAGACAACACATTCTCAAAATGCCTGGTGCTCCCTCGTGGCAATCCACGAGCACCTCTTTAAACACTCAGCTGGAAGCAGGGGCTTCAGCAACTGACTAGTAGGGATGAGAGCCCAACATATAAGCTCTCAGAGGAAGAGATGTCCCCTATTGTTTTGTCGGTTTTGTGGGGATCCTGGAATTTGGGAAACCTTTTTCGGCCCCCATGCTCACAAGTATAGTCACACACTTTGTTTTGTTTTTATACTGAATAAGAGAATGTTTTCTTCATCTTTAGATGGGGACTTCACTCTTTGCTATATCCAAACACCAAATTCTAACTTCAAGATTTTTTTAAAAATTATTCTGGGTCTGTTGTGTAGCCCAGGCTATCCTCCCCCGTTCTGGAATTACAATCATGGGTCATCACACTCAGTTTATTCCTTCTTATTTTAAGCGAGTGGTTGGGTTAGGTTGGAGGGAACTGGCTTCTCTAGGAATGCAGGCCAAAGCCTCGGCAGGCCCACTTCCAGCCTCCACCACATGGAAGTCACCACCCTGCTCTGTTTCAAAGGTCTGAGCCACACTGGTGAGCTTATCCTCCTTCCTTAGGGTGCAGTCTACTTGGCCCTGCCTGCGGGGAGTGGGGGGGGGGGCACTGGCAGCCACAAACCCAACCCTGGCGCCACTTCCACGGTTAATCAGTTTACCTGAGATGTATATTTGGCTAGACCCCCCTCCTGGGGACCTTCCATGGCCACCCAGGGTCAGAGAATAACTTTAAACCTCTTCAAAGCCTGAGCCTCTACTCAGGAGACAAACTAGCGCTGGGAGTGGCAAGGGATAGACTTTACTCTTCAAAGTGACGGCAAATGCAAAAGGCCTTAGCACTTAGTAGGTAGTCAATAAATGTTAACTTTGTTTCTCAAGTCTGCACTTCCTCCCTTCCCCAAGAGCCAGCTCCATCCAAAGGCCACCTCCAATCTTCTCTAGAAATTCTACACGAATAAGGCCTTTGGCATTTTGCATGAATGAACAGTCTCTTTCCTTTTTTTTTTCCTCCAGCCCAAGTGGCCAGGGCCCCACCGAAGTGTCCGTGTATAGATCGTGTAAGCGGGGCAAGCTGGCAATCCCTTCAGGTCTGACACTGGTGGGAACACTACAGGCCATCGGTATTGTTAACCAGGCCTTTCTAAGAAGAGGTGGTTCTAGGGCTGCAACCTTGCCAAGTCTCCATTTAACTCAGACATTATAAAGAAGCCCCTCTGCGCGTTGTCTCCATGCACTGGCCCAGGTGTTTGAGCAGGAGAGTGGCATCATGGGACCCCACAGTGCGCCTGAGGACAGACTGGCAGGTTAAACATGTTTGACCCACTCTGGCGCGGTCTCCTTTACTGATCTCTTCCTTATTTCCGGGTGTGAAAACCCCCACCGGAAAGTCATCTGCCACCCTGAGGGATCCTCCAACCTGGCTGCCAAATGGCGCAGATCCCAGGTTTGCTGAGGACTCAGAAGAAGGGCTGGAGGAAGTGGGGGGCTGGATCCCAGGGATCAGATCGCCAGACTGTTCCAGCCGACCCAGCACCTCTCACTATCACCCAGAGGCTATGCAGACCAGGCCACCCAGTTACAGAAGGCTATTGCTGGACTCCAGTGGCCTGGCCACTCATCATCAGAATGGCCCACCACCACGAGCCTCCGGTTTCCAGGCTACCTTCCTAGAATGCTCACAGCATTAAGGACGCCCCTAACCGCAACAGAGTTGGGACAGCTGAATGCCTCAAACAGGACTCAAAGCCCTTCAGTACTCACCGAGATTGGGGTGTCGGGCAGGGTTGGCCCGTCCGGGCAAGCTGTGCAGAACTGGACTGTCGAAGGGGCCTGCTGAGGCGGGGGCCCGGGGCCCAAGA